GAGACCTCACTGATCCAGGCTGTGAGAACCAGGCTAAGCAGCTAAGTGTGCAAGACATTGTGAGGACAGACGGGTGGGACTGCTCAAAAGTCAGGGCACAATACAGTGTGTTGTGATGATTCTCCATGGGAACAAAACCTTTCTTACTCAAAAAGATGGAGGAGAGTTTTCTGGCCTTTAGAATACATGGCTTCCTCAGCAACAAGAAAACATGTCAAAGCAACATCAGGAACTATTAATGGAATTTCAGAGGACAATTATGCTTTCACTTGATCTTTTACCAAGAATATTTTAGAGGGTAGGGAGTAAGGTATATTTACAAAGCTTCTGTAGCTTAACTAGTCTTCAATAACAATGCAGTATAGAACCACAAAAATTTGTTTAAAATTTAACACATAGTAACATCAAAACAAACAAATGTTTCCATGGAGACAACTACCTAAATAAATGCTCACAATGGATCCAAGGCGTGACGTCATCCAGTCCTGCCTGCAACCATAGTAACATGCCAGTATAAACAGAAATATTTTTATTTTTCTATCTAATAATGTCATAGAATCAGCAGTTTTATGGCAGTGCTTAAAACATATTCTTGCAGTGCTGAGTGGTAACACTTCTAAAATAAGAGCAGAGGTATTTATATCAGGGCTATTACTATCACCATGTTCACTATATACAACAAGTGGAGTATGTGTATGGCATAGCTAACATATCAAATTTCCCAGAGCAGTTGTTGACCCCACTAAACAAAGAAATTTAAGTTCCTAAGGCAACGCGCTGGAATGCTAGTCAGAGATCCATAGCATCTATTATTCTTGGGTATTCTGCTTTCCTTAATACAAAAATCCCAAAGTTCTTAGACTGTTGTGTCTCACTGTCTTGCTAGAATAAGAAGAATTCAGCCACGTGTTGCTTTTCATACCAAATACAGAATCCTTCAGCGCCCTTCTCCCGTGTCACCAATGTACCTGCTTTCTCCAAGGCAACAAGATTCACTAAATCCATATTTGCACTCTGCAAGCGCAATACAAAACAAACAGCCTACAAATTTTTGCAACTCTGGAAGAGTACCAGAAAAAAACCGGTTAGTTAATGAAGAAATTTTCCAAGAAGGCAGGTAAGTGTTTCAGCTACTAAAAACATATCCATGGAATACCCACTTTCTTGAAACCCATGAATTTTCAAATGCTATTGTATGTCTGCATGCTTCTAAACTCAGTAGGCCCAGATGGCATTATCACTCTTCATTTGCAAAATATAAAAGAAAGATGTCTATATAACGTTCAGATAGTATGTGAAAAATCAATGTTTAGAATGATCTAATATTACTAAGATACTTATACTAAACCCCTATATTTTAGCAGAAACCTGAGCTACAGGGAAATTGAAGATATTATCATTACAAAAAAAAGTGGGAGTACCACTTTCGGCACTGTCATGCAAACTTCAGATACAGTAATTTATGAAAACTTCCATTCTCATAGAATATAACTGTGACTTATCCTTGTCTTCAAGTATGGCAGTAAATATATGGACCAGTTAAAAGTTTCCTAGGAAGTATTTTCAGGCTTTTATTTAACAATCATATGAGCAGGATTTTCAGAGAAGAGGTTGCTTCATTTTCGCCATTTAAAGAGAAAGAGTTATCCTGGTACCAATCAGCAAAAGAGATTTTTACATAACTTTAAGCAAGTAACTGCTTTGAAATTAAAATCTACCCTGCAACCAGTGTTACTGTTGTACGAAGTCCAATGAACATACGAAGGAAGGAGTACATCATCTCAAGTGTTGAATGTGAAACCACAAAAAGTTACTGCATAATTACATTTACAGTAATGTACACTTTTGTTGCTGCATTTTTTTACAGATTTCATTCTATAAGATATGGCAGAACTTTGTAATTCACTCTACACAATTTCTTTTGCTTTTCCAGGTGCAACATGCATAGAAAGTTAGCAATATTGTAAGAGATGTCTTTACTGTATGTTTTATAACCTAAAAAAAAAATAAATTATTCTTCTACTTATTACAGAAACTGCAGTCTATCCCAACTGTATTAATGCAATCCAAATATTTGGCATAAATGTAGGTGTATTTTCTCTGCTCTCTAGGGATGCAAATTATAAATATTCATACATGTGGCTACTCTCACAAGTAGCTTTTCATTTCAAATAATTCCATTGCAAAATTCATTGTTGCTTCACTTCTCGTATTTTCTGTGTTGACAATAGAAAGTTTTTAAAATAGAAAAGAAAAAAATTAGGCAGAAAAAGAATCTATTAAATCAATTTTTAACAAACAACAACTTATATTACAATCCACTAAATTCAAAGGATTTATGAGACCCTTAAGAACTTACAAATTACTGTTAAACAAAAATCCTTGCAGTGAGGGAAGAGATCACCCAGTTTGCATGTTTTCTTACCAAAGAATGCAATTCTAGCAATAATTCTTTCATGTGTACTACTGTGGATTCTTTGCATTTGTTCTTCTTATCCTGAAGTACATATAAATGTTGTGCTTACATGAAGGTTTCAGTGGACCTTTTATGCAAGATAAATAGACAAATTACATTTCAGCCTGACCTGACATCCTCACACAGAAGGAAAACACTTCTTTTCTTATTTGTACCAAAGGCTCACTGGAATTTTTTCAACTTTTATAACAACATTAAACTTAACTAATCTCTGAAAGATAGACACAGCTTTGAAGAAGTATCAAGGACTGCTCAAAAGTTTCAGAAGTTTTGTTCACCTGCTTTGGCGGAGGCTGGAGAGGGGGTGTTAAGTCTACAAAAATGTTCATTACTTCAGAGATAAAATCCCTCCTGGAGCAGAGAAAGTTACCAATCAGAGAATACAACATTATCTTTCAGTAGCTCTTAGGTAAACATATCTCTTATTAATTTCCTTGTTACTTTACCCTGGCTATCAGCAACATGTAGTTCCTACCTATTTTGCCAGTATCTGTAGCATAATAATAAATAAAGACTGGGAAAGTTAGCAAGACAAAAGTGGGCTTTATACACAGTAACTCATAAACCCAAAGAATTTCTACTAGATTAATTATTTTCTAGTGTCTGAACAACAAATGCCATTGTCTTAAACTCCAAGTACAGCTGGCTAGAAAATAAACCCTGTTGATAAGAACCAACAGAAAATATGTATGGAAGTTTTAACACAATGCTAAATGGCAATTGTAGTTCGGTTTGACAAACACATCTTCTTATCTTTGTTGTGCTCCCTGGCCAGACTACAACTGCCAAAATCCACCAGCCCCATCTCACTGACCATAAGAATCCCAGGCTGCAGTCCATCTTACGAGACAGTGGTCACAGGAGAGAGGTCTGAGAAACTGCTGAGCTAGCACTCTCCCCAGAGACAGAGACAAGAAGCCCAGAGCTAAGTTGAGACTGCTGAACAGCATCAAGGGCATATGTTGACATTTCCCTGGAGCCTCAGGTACCTACCACCTCAGAACTCACTCCTGTGAAACAGGACTGGATTCCTTCTACCCCAACAGTCACAAAAACCAATACTTCTTTCTATCTGCTAATGTTGCACATTTTTAATGCTATATCATGGGGTTGTCTTATCACTAGCGTGCCCAGAAAATAGCACTAAGATCGTATCTATCATTAAAGGAAATAATAAGACAAATTCTTAAGCTGATGAAAGTCAAAGAACATTTGAAAATAAATGCCAACGCTGCCTATCATAGATCAAGAAAGAAACAAAACTCTACAGCCTAAACATACATTTCAAATAAACCAGTTCACTGATAGTATATCTAATTCCGGCAACACAACTTCCAAGAAAATATGAGTACGGTCTCAGAGTGAAAGTGGACTGATACAAGATACATTCTTACTGAGTAAGAATGTGCATATATAGTGCCTTCCATTGCCTAGATAAGATCCCCAAGGAGAAAAGAAACAAAGAAAGAAATCAATCAAATAAGTCATTCTGTGTATGTTACACTGGACAACTTCCAAGACTGTCTTTTCTTCTCTGCCTTTCTCCACTTTGATGCACTCAAAAGGGCCAGTGACTGTAGCAAGATTTTCCAACTACCCTTGTAAGCAGCTCAGTTTGCATATCCTCCCCAGCACTACAACACAGTTGAGAGCACAAGACAAGTAAGTGTTACTACAAGCTACAAGTACAATTAAGGGACTCCTTTAAAAAGCATGACCCTCAACACAATGAGGTGTGAGACAATTTAAACAGCTACTGTGGTAACAAAAAGCAAAAAAGACAAGATTATTATATCAGATAACAGGGGAACGGGGAAGGTAAAAATAATCCAATTTTACATATAAAACAAAACTAGAAAAATTATTTGGGCTTCATACAGAATATGCCAGAACAGATTAATATCTTCTCTTAGATTTGATGAGTTTCTGACCAAGCTTGCCTAGGTTTTCAGGCTGCAGAGAAAGATTCACTAAAGCGCCAGTCTGGTCACAAGAATAAGCATAGACCACAAAGACAATACTAATCAATTCATCACAGCCATCGGTCTCCACCAAAATTCACCATCAGCTTGGCATAGCCCTACACTTCAAATGTGAGTTAGCGTTGTGCTGGACATCAGGACTCTTGTTAGAATATTGACTTTTAGCACATATTCCACTTTAGTCTCAGTCCTCTGAGGCCAAGCTTTGGCAAAATCATCCTGACTTCATTCAGATATCCTTCAGAAAACACCGACAGCTCTTACTGCAGTTTCTTGGAATAGCCTGCATTTGTCCTGATCACACCATACCTGCTTGTATAGTATAACACCTGTGAAACTGCAGTCAATTTAAAATAGCAGGTCATAAGCTGAAAGCCATATCTTCAGACAAAGCAATAAAATTTTGTAAAGGAACATGAAAGAGATCAATTTTGACAATGACAAACAGTGTCTCACAACATCTGTAAGCAACAGAAGGTAAATTTAGATGATATCTACAAAATGTGGGGGAGACAAGGAAATTACGGCAGAAAAGCACTTACTTGATTTTACTGAAGACGATGTCAACATCTGTGGTTGTTACGTTCTTCCCATCTATCACATGACAGTCTTTACACAGCTTTGACCAGTTCTTCCCGTGCATTTCTTTTCCTGTGGCTCTCGTATCACCATGGACAGCAAATTTTCTGAAGGCCTCTTCCAGAGCACTTATTTCTCCTGCCGTAGCTCCCTCATGGGAGTTGGTTGAATCGGTGGATAAGCGTTTTGCTGGCTTGGTTGATTTGTCAGCCATTGTGCTACAAAGAAGAGGAGGGCAAACTCATTACATTAATTTGCACTAGTTTACTTTCTGTCAATCTACATGCTACAGTCATGTCACAACGTATGCAAAATAAATGGTCTATAAAGTCAGCAAGAACTCACTGCCCTCTATCACCAAACATCAGTCTAAACATAGAACTAGGTAACTCTCTGCCCATGTAGAAAAAATTCTAGCATATTAAAAAAAAAGGATAGGGAAAGAATGTTCCAAAATCAAGCACAAACCTAGTTTCACCATCATTGCATCAGCCAACAAGAGAACACGTTTGCTTCCTTTTTTTTTTTCTTAAATGGCAATCACCACAGTCACTCCACTGATTTGAATAAAAGTATGCCCTTTACATTGTAGGCATTACTATCAACTTGTCTTTCTGAAGGAAGAATAAACATCCCTTAATTTTCTGGACTGTGGCTTTTTTTTTTTTTTTAACTGAAAAATTAAATATTTTGAAAGCGTAGCAAAAATATTAATGTTATATTATGTAAGGACTAACAAGTAAGGCGGCCTCAGAAATGCTTAGGCAAGGCTCTCTTGTTAACAAAACCATTCAATTCTCAAGTTTAGGCACAAAGAACTGCAGCTGTGGAATTCATTTGGAAGGAACACATCCACGATGCAGGAGCTCTGAGAAGGGATGGCATTACTGCCGAGAAGAACTTTCAGACTACCCTATGTACGTGTAGGGTAGGTTTGTCTTTTAAATGAAACCTAAAACTGAGCAACAGAACACCAATGCTATTTTCAGGTGTCTTCATAAACAAACAAAAAAACCCTAACGTGCCAGAAGCAAGTCACAGAAACCTCTGCCTTCTGCCCATGCACTCTTCACTTGGCAGAAGTAGGAGGCACTGAAAAGTCTAGGCACAGGGTACACTGTCTGCATGTCCCAACAGTTGCATGCAGACTGTTGCCAGACTCGCATCTGTGGTGCTGCTACAAATTTTAACCCATAAAGAGGTGCTTTAGGTATCAGAAATTTGGCAAATATTAAATAAGTCCACCATACTTACTTTGGCCTTTCTTCTAAACTCCGAGCTGTACATGGGATGTGATTAACATATGCAGAGACTGGTATGTATTTCTAGTTAGGGTTTTATTTCTGCATCTGATAAAAAGTTCCTTTGGCTTATATACTATACATCAACACAAACACCTCATGGAAAGTTCTAAAATTCTACCTCTTCCAATACTGTTTAACCTCTGTCACTTGAACAACTACAGCATACCCTTTCCTGCACACTACAACAGAACTAACCATAGCTACTTGCTATGCAGCAGCTATTGTTAAGCTTTGTGATTAGAAAGAATCTTTTAATAAAAAATACACAAATGGACCTTTGTCCTTTACGCTAGAGCAAATGGAGCATGGTCAAAGCACTATTGCCCATTTTGAAAACATCCAAGTAAATGTTTAAAAACCTTGTTATATCTTAAGCCTGGGGATCTTTCTGGGTTTTTTACACTGTCAGCATCAGTTTTGGCCAACAAACCAAAATGCTACATTAAAATTAATGCGACAGGAATTTACTAACTGTAGCCTGAGCTACATATGTGCACCTATGAAATAAAAAGAAAAGCACGAAGGGGGAAAAACCAGTTTGAAAATGTCAAGTTAATTAAAAAGTTAAAAAAGTAACCAACTCCCATTTCTATTTCTTTTGCACCCTGCCTACTCTCCAAAGAACAGCAATTTTTAGAGACAAGGAAGGACATCATGCCGTATTGGAGAAATGATCTCTCCAATAGAAATACAGAATAACTTGTTTGACAAAAATTCAAGATCAAATGCCATTTTGAGTCTTCTTTACCCTTTTTTCCTGGATAAAGGGATCAAAAGGCGCTTGCTAGATTCTGCTAGAAGTAAAGATTAGCAGTAATTTGCTGCACGGCCACAGCAAGATGATAGTGATAAAAGAAAGTGACTACTCTAAAATACCAATTCTAAAATTCACTAAAACAAAATTAAGCCGCTGTTCAAAAGCGTGAGCTGTGTAGATGCCAACTATAACAACGACAGCGAACCAAAAATGCCTTTCATCACCGTCCAAAAAGTCTAATATGTACACAATTAGATAATATTAATTTCCAAAGCCAGCAGAAGGAAGAAAGGTGAGACTAGCCACCGATCCCGTCCTTACCAAATACTGCTGGCTCTAACCTAGTAGGTCCACATCACCAAAAGCAGCCCTATAAGAAAGGGGTATAAGCAAATGCTAGAGTTCAGCAGGTTTGTGAAAGAACAACTGTCCCAAAAAAACCCTGGAGTTTCAGAAACCCACAGAATATTTAGACAATTAGGTGATGTGTTATGAACTGCTATAGTCTGTGTCATGCAGTACTCCTTTAGTACCATGAAAAAACAGTTCTTGTCCCTCCCCTCACTCTGCAGTAGGTAAATAATACAGTACATTATACAGAGATTAAGCTAGGGATCAAACTAACTGATGTTAGTCACTGATGTCATTACTAACTCATGCTAAAAGAGACTGAAAGTGCAGATCTGTGTTCTCAGCACATGCCTAACCCATTAGAAAAAGTTTTCTAATTTCATCAAACTGCCTTTCAGCCAGAAACTACAATATATATACTCCTCTGAAGATAGACAGCTGGGAAAACTCCACTAGATAGAGTCATATATTAATCTGAATTCTTCCCAAAAAGGAGGGGACAAGAAGTTATTGTTTCTGTGAATTGCAATTATCGATTTTCTATAGCTGTGAGAATATCAGGTACATATAAATAGGTCCAAAGCCAATTGTAAACTCTACTGAAAGATTATATTAATTTACACTCTTTTGCTTATCCATATCCTCTCCAGGTGTCAACATATTGCAGGAATTCTGGTATAGCTTTGATTTAGATTTGTGGGAATTGCTCTTAGAAGAATCCATCTATCAGCACCAACAAGGATGATCTGAAGACTTACTAGAACCTACAGTGTTTTTCCCAACAATTTCAGCTTATGCAACTCTATGAATATGAACGTATCCTACCTGGTCAGAATTCACCATGGCACCTTTTCTGCCCTGTCCCCGAGAACTAATTCATGGCTTATCCGCTCAGGAGTTGCAGACAATTCAATATTTGTCAGAGAAGTTAGCATCACTGCCATGCCACAGAGAAACCAAAGCAGAGGGATGAAGAAATATCTGTTTTGCTGCCAGAGTTCAGAACGTAATGAGGATCCTGGGACCCATACTCTACACTGCTTTTATTATTGAAGCCACAGAAAGCAGGTACAGCAGTGTAAGGAGTGCTCTAAAGAGCCAACATTCTCTGACTCTATAAAGGAAATATAAATATAGTTTCACTAGCTGCAAATCTATTAAACCAGTTTAGGATCTCCATACCAGAAGATGTTTTTCTAAAAAAAAAAAAATAAATCAAAAGGATATAAAAATCTGAATGCTTTTTTTTTTGGTTGTACCACGTACTTTCTCATCTGCTTTGTCTAGCTTGCGACTAGCACACTAAGAATATAGTGTCCCAATATAAGTCGAATTTCTTTCATTTGCAGCAGGTATTAAAAAGTATTAAAACACATCTTTTAATGGAAGTCATCTTGCAGCATTAACTGCCACAGAAATTATATGAGTGTAATTGTTTAAGACAGCACAACAGACTAGAACACTACAGCAGATACTTATTACAGTCTCAGATACATTCATGTTAGTGAAAAAGGCAGCTTATTTTAAAACTTGTTTGTTCTTTAGAATATTTATCAACCAAGAATTGGCTAAAACAAGGTCAAAAGTCCTGTGAACTAAGGGAAAGTTCCAGTTCAAAATTTTTAGCAGCTGAATCATTCAAGCATCAAGCACACCTCTGTTTGGGAGATTGCTGAGATTGATGAATTTGCAGAAAAGATATGACAGCACAAGTGCACAGTTGCAACGCAATAATAGTACTACTAATATCTACTCTTTCCAGTAATGCTCACCTATGCATATGCCAGTCTTATTTCTCAGGCATAACACCCAGTTCCACTGCAACTTGCAACACGACTACACAAGACCCCAAAGTTACATTTACACTGAGCATCAATGTCATCCTCCAGCTAACATCCAAAGTCTGCACTGTAAATTCCTAAGGCTTCTACACCCTAAAATGCACTATCTGCTTAGGTTCTCAACGGTAGCCCTAATTTCTTAATTGCTTCTACCATATCCCCCAGACAATTAAACAGCAAAAATTTACAAATTATATCCCTGACTTCCTTCTGTTCCTTAATTCCTTTTGCTGTCATTTTTACACAAAGTCCAAGGTTCTGCTTTGCTTAGTCAGAATAAAGCTTTGGCCACAGTGTAGAGTGAGATGGTACCCTAGCTGTACCCTAAATATCCACCAAGATATAATCCAAAATGGAGGTTCCCCAGTCTTTCTGCAACATCCTTGCCACTCAGCAATATAAATAAAGACACTGCTCTACTATCTGCAAAATGTCACCAGCAGGTTAAAAAACATATCTTTGAAACACTCTGTTCTCTGGTCTTTAAGTCGAGTATGAGCATGCAGGCTTTACAACACTCTTGCTCTTCACAATGGGCATTCAGACCAAAAAATTCCCTAGCTGATAGGCAAATTTCATACAACTGGTCTTCCTTGCACCCTCACCTTCCAAAAGGGGGGGAAATATCACCAATTAACCTGCAATAGCATCTATACATCTACTTAGCTGGCCAAGAAAAATGGGATTCTCTATTCAGTCAGATAGAATCTCTCATGCATATGATTACATTTGAATGAATGCTCAACAAAACAGTAGAGAGGAATCTACCGATTTAGTGAGAATTAGAAATAGAGTAGGCAAAACAGAGAGATAGTGGACCCCTCACAAGGCAGATAACACAGCCAGCAAGTTGAGATAAGTCTGGTATTACAAAAAGACCTGAAGAACCACGTGTTTTAACATTAACAATTTTACTTTTGTTTTAACCACAATAAGCTTCAATAAGCTTCCTATTTCTATGCCAT